TTTTAAATAGGGTACTTTAACACTGTTTTGAGTTGTATCTAAAATGTATTTTGAGACTCATCCACTCAAAAAGTTACAAACAGAGTTCAAATAGACTATTTGAAATATGTTTTAAAACCTTAAGAACTGACCGCATTTTAAATACTTTTAAATAGGGTACTTAAACACTGTTTTGAGGTATATTTGAATTGTAGTTTGGGCACACAACACTCTGACTATAAAAACAGATATACATAAACTATTTTAAGTCTGCTTAAAGACATCAAATGCTGACCTTACTTTAAATACTTTAAAGTACTTATTACTTATTATTACTGAGGTGCGATATTGTAATGTACTTTGGGATACTCAGACTATAAAAGTAACAATTGCACAAAGTTAATTTTTAAGCCTTCATAGTGTCACGAACTCATAAATGACTCAAAACAAGCTGTCACATATTGTAGACCGGATTCTCTTCTCAACAAAGTTCGAAGCTGAACGAAAAATTAAATCTAAATTAAATAAAAAAAGAGAAGAAAGTTAGGAATAGATTTTAGCTTTGACTGACAACACGTAGCTGTGACAGATAGTGTGCCGACAAGAGATCAATCCGTTCCTCAATGTTCATTACCTGCAAGCTCTCTGCGAATATCTCCTCGTAGATTTTAGCCGTGATTCAATTAATGCAGTTACGGCATTCCATAAGTTTTTTAAAAGAAACTTCTTAAAATCTCATTTTAATGGAAATTTTTCACAAACAGCCGAGGCCGCGGGCGCGAGAACCGGATGCACGCAGTCAACAGAGGTTTATCTAAAATAAGCCCTTGAAATTACATAATAAATAAATTATCCAAGCTAAGATCTCACCTCGTATATATTGCATCAAGAAACAAAGCTCAGATCTGAATAACTCCGACATATGGTTATCTTTCTCTCATAGATTATTCCGTACATGCATAGCATATTATTTCTGAGATGTCACGCGCGACTGAAATCACGACTTCGCGCCGCGGTGATGTGCCAAACGCACGTGATAAACAAACCGTCCTTTGTCCTTTGCTCATTTCAAATTATTGAACCGGCGGTTACCGTGATTGCGGGTGCGCTTGACTTTACTGTTTGTTACGATCTTACAAAAGTACATTTCAACTCTGCGGATTGTCTGAACACGTAGATGTTGCTTTTATCACGAATCAAAAATGGGTATGACTCCTCAGCGACTGCTATGTACTTTGAAAGGTTCTGGTTCAGGTTCTATTCGAAGCACGCTGTCTTATGTGTTAATCCAAGAGTCTTCTCTCATGTGAGTATTATAACATGTTACTAAGACGCGTAAGTATACGCCATATGAGAAACAAATGAAGGGTAGTAAACATTTATATACTCCCGCCTGTACGGCAAGTTTAGTTTTTACAGGGTTCCATGCTCATCCTGGCTGTGTTGCATGAATGATCTCAGTCACTTGATGTCACGCTCTTTCATTCTCGCGTAAATTTGATGGTGTTATTCTTATGTTGTTCTTTATCAGCCAATAATTAATGTTCAGGCGTAGCCTGCAAGCTTCTGATAATACTTGAGTAAAGCTGTGAATATAATAAATAATGTAAGTTACATGTATGTAGATTATTATTTACCGGTAACGTCAGTAACGCAAACCCCTTTTGAAGCTGAGGATTGATAGCATGTGTACAGACCCCCTCCCCTCCGATGTTTATTGAGGGGAGGGGGTCTGTACACAGGCTAAAGATTGATTTCAGCATTTCTGAAAAATTCTGTAAGAATTTCCCGAGAATACGTAGGGAAATCAACGTAAAGTCATCGGCTAAGAGATAATTCTCGTGAAGTCCTGGCCTAGGACTGTGTGGAGAAATTTCGCAGAGGTAAATCTTGCTTTTTCAGGGTAATTTTCGACGGTTATGTAGTCATTTTATTTCATGAATTTAAATGGTATTTCCATCCTGTTTTTGTACTGTTTTTATGCTCTTTCGACCGATTTTTGTACTGTTTTCAGACAACTCTAAGGCTATTTTCTTACAATTTTATCCTGTTTTTGCATTTTTGCATCCTATTTTTGATGTATTTTCACAGTATATGCGTGCTGTATTGCTTTTCTTCTTCTGTGTTATTTTAATACTATTTTTCAAAGTATTTTTATTGTATTTGCAAATACGAGTATTTTACTAAATTTCGAGACCGATTAAGGTATCAGCCACCCTTCAGGACCGTCCGCGCGCGGATGGCTGTAGCGTTAGTTGTTTTTATAAAAACCCCTATAAACCATATATTTTTTAAAAGCTTAATAATTCCAGATTATGGATTTGAACTAACAAAAACGATTTACTTAAATGTGTTTCGAAATTGGAACGCTTTGTGTAAAAGTACACGTCTCTATAAATCATGTTCCACTCCCGCCGGAAATAAACGGAAGAAAACAATTAAGAGTCACTGACTCCAAATATCGAGAATCGCTGGACAGGTTCGAAAAATCGAAAACCCTGAAACTTTGCCTCAAGAACGC